GCCGGTCCTCCCCGCCCCCACCCCCCCCACCTTCCCCGGGAAGGAGCGGGCGCTCTTTTTGAGCGCGGGCAGGGAAGCGAGTGATGGCTTAGCTGCTGCCTGGCGTTATGTAATCGCTACTAGGTCCAGTAGTACATCCCAAGCCTCGGTGCATTGCAGTTAGTTTGCAAAGTCTTCTCCTTCGGCTCTAACATTTTAGGGTGGCGCCGTGATTTGTAAAATGGCACGGGACGGAAAATAATTTATTTTCTGGCAACTATATCCTGCCGCGGTGGGCGCCATGTTTATCCCAGGGACTATTTGCTTTACGTTACTAGCACCCACGGACAAGGAGTGATGTTGACTCACCTGCTGTGTCGCCTTTCTCCGAGTTACCCTGATTTCCTCTCCCGACTGATGCGGGTGTTCCTCAAACTCTTAATAGCGCTACTCTCTTGTTTTGGACATTCTTAGCTCAGAAAAAGGTAGAGCTCTAAAGAGAGGCTTGAATGTCTGTCATTCAGCCCAGTCTCATTTTCGAGATGGGAATTGAGATACAGTTGTGCCATCTCAAAACAGTTATCTGTTCGTTGCAGACTAGACCAGCCCTCGATACTTTTTCAGACACCTACCATCGTAGCTCAAAGCCTTGTAGGAATGTAGTTTTACTTTAAAAAGAATTTTATCTAAACGAAGGGGAAAAGACGAGGGGGCCTAATGGCATTGAATTTTGAGACCCGTTGCTCTTGTGACTAGGAATTGGATTGCTAGTTTGAACCACCAGGTTGCACAATGTGCCTGATTTAGGGGTGCATAAAAATTTATGTACTTTTAAATGTTGCTTAAAGTGCAGTTTTGGAGGCTTCAAGGGGCATGTCACCACAGCCCTCAGCTGAGACCAGTTAAGATTCAACTATTAATATTGAGAATTATGGGTCTACTTTAAGGTGTTCAAATATGTTCTTAAGGCAAAATGAAGCAGCAGTCAATACCCTTGATTTCCTTCTCCTTTCTGATATTAGTGGTACTAGACCAGCTACGTTGGGGGTGTAGCTCCTCTGATATTAGTGGTAATAGACCAGCTACGTTGGTGGTGTAGCTCCAACTAAAGAAACAGAAGGAAGATGTACAAGTTAGTTTCCATCATTACCCTGAGCCAGTGATAACATTTAGGGAAGCAGTTCTCAAATGTGATTCCTGACCCAAGGAAATCTCTTTGAGCCTCTTTAAGGCAGGTGAGGTTGTCATAATTATGATCAAAGTAATACTAATACCCTGGTTTTTGTTTTTTATTTTCACTGACTTTGGAAGACTCATCCAAAAGCAACGCTGGGTAAAACTACTGTGGCGCCTTTGCACAAAGCAAGGCAGTTGCAGGACATTCTGCTATACTTAATTGACATTTCCTTGATAAAGCAATCAAAATAACTTTATTACTCTACCTTTGAGTACAGCTTTTAAGAATTTGCAACCAAATGCAAAGTGTGTGTAAAGCTAATGTTAGGCTGCCTAACAAGGTCTGGTTATTGTCATTGTCATAACAAAAATGATCAAATTGAGTTGCATTGTCTGTTTTAAGGAACAGCATTTTTACTTGGAAGAATGATTGTCTTGAATGGTTGGTGAGTGTTTTCTTGAAAATGAATGATTGATTTGAGCTTGTCACTTTGAGGAAAGCAAACTTGATAGTGTTTGTTGTCAGTGAGAAACATTTGCGAGTGAATATTAGAATCTTTAAAAAGCTGATGACTCATAACGTGTGTGGACATTTGGAAGGCTGGTATAGCTCAGTAAATCCTCCTGCCCCCCAGCCCCCCATGACCAATGCATGGTATTTAAAAATCACCATAGGTTAAAAATCCTGTAAAAAATGCAAGACAGACTCATGGGTTTTAATATAACAAAGTGCTGAAGGTTTTATTTGGTAGATTCTATTGGTACAATTTTAGTGTAAGATGCAACTCTTTAAGAAACAACCATTTGTTGGGTTTCAGTATTGTGCCAATGTAGACAGTTACCTGAAAAGACTCTTAGAATGCTGCTCCCTTCTCCTATTGTCTTTACATGTTTAACCCAAACAGCTTACAGAAAGAGTGAATGCCGAAGTAGCTGTGAGAATTCATCCCTCTTCTCTTAAACTAGACATAAAAGATTTGGAAGGATGTAAAGCAATGTTACTATTTGGAGGGAAAGTAGTTGTTTTTAAGTTGAAAATATTATTTATATTAACATAATGGGTTTGCCTTTTTTTTTTAAGATTTATTTATTTATGCATACAGAACTGGGGTACAGGCCAGAGGTGCAGGGGTGGTGAGAGGATTCACCAGACACAGTGGGGAGCAGAACAGACAGATTGACAAAGTACACTGCTGAGGGGAGCAGCTGGTGAGACAGGAGA